GTTTACATACGTGTCCTATTTTTAGTTTACATACAGGGTGTCCTATTTTTATTTTACATACAGGGTGTCCAATTTTTAGTTTACATACAGGGTGTTCCATTTTTAGTTTACATACAGGGTGTCCCATTTTTAGTTTACATACAGGGTGTCCCATTTTAAGTTTACTTTACATACAGGGTGTCCCATTTTTAGTTTACATACAGGGTGTCCTATTTTTAGTTTACATATTGGGTCTTAAATTTTTAGTTTACATACAAGATGTCCCTTTTTTAGTTTACATACAGGGTCTCCAATTTTAGTTTACATACAGGGTGTCCCATTTTTAGCTTACATACAGGGAGTCCCATTTTTATTTTACATACAGGGTGTCCAATTTTTAGTTTACATACATGGTGTCACAACAAACATAGGAGTGAAAATTATCGAGACACTCATTTGAATATCTGGAAAGCTAATACCATTATTTATCTCATGTATTTAACTAGTTTTTGTCCGTTTATTCGCTCTGCATCTTCAAAAATGATTAAGATAGGAAAAACGTTGTACAATATTCCATTTTAATAAACATTATATACATTAACCTCTAAACTATCTAAACACTTGTTTTCTCAACTCTTTATAAACAAAATAATATTTAAGTCGAAATATTTCACCTCTATAATGTTAATCCTTAATATATCTTACTAAACCTTCCCCCCCCCATCCCAATTCCTCGGCTTAAAGTTTTTATTCAAATTTTCAAATGAACTCTGAACAAATAGAGTCAAACTTTAAACCATCCAGAAATTTCAGAAAAGGTTTAAGCTAAATCCCACACCACGGGGAGAGAATCAGATTATCTCATTAGAATTTAATCAAATTAATTATTTTATAATAAATTATAAATGATTAGAATTGTAGTTAGAAAAATAATAACAAGTTGTCGTAAAGTGCGAAAACAAAAAACTCGCCACGCCATAATTGACTAGATCTTGTATGTCTATTTTGTGTTTGAATAAACTTAGTATAGGCTACGTCTAAAAAACGAATAGTCATTAAATTGATCACATTAGACTATGTATACCAAAACTGTACATAAACTGTACATAAACTGTACATAAACTGTACATAAACTGTACATAAACTGTACATAAACTGTACATGATTAAACATATAGCTGAAAATCTTAATGTACAAAACATACAAAAAATTATTTTCACGAAGACTTATATACTAAACAATTGTATTGTGGATATCCTTGTTTAATCCGCAGATTAATTTAATCTTTATCCATTGTCCCAAGTCAGGGGTTGAAGGGAGTTTTAATTAGTGGAGGTATAACCATGATGAGAAGATTTAGAATTGATTCTGATATTAAAAGTGTCCAAATATGATTTCAAGATCAAGTGATCAGGATCCCGTATTTTTGTAAAAATGAGAGCAGCGTGGAAAGTATGGTCATGGGTTGTTTTGAAAACAGTATTTTATGAGAGTGTTAAATTTTGCTGAAATAATTTCAAACTTTTTTATTTCAGAACATCAAACGGAAAATTTTCAAAACAATGAAATATTTTGAATATGTTTTTGACATTATATTACTCAATATAGTTTAAACATTTTTTATTTATTTCTTATTTATTGTATCTTTAGTATACAAATACCACTTGTAACATGTATATGAGAAAAAAAAATCATTAATTCATGAGAAAAAAAATATTTAAAAATATTATATAATATGTCCAAAAGTTTGACAGGCCCCTCAAAAAATTATGTCTATTCATGACATAAAAATCTTTAATGACAATTAAACTTATGTTTAATCATGAAACGTTAGTTTACAACTTTCGATTCACAGTTCTGCTTAAAAATTATAAATGCCATTGAAATTAAAATTTTGTTATTATTTTCATTGTAACACGGGAGGAGGGGGGGGGGTTATTAAATTTGGACAAATCATAGATATTTTTGTTGTTAATTTCAGATATATAATCCTAAATTTTTATTGACTGTAAATTATTGTTTAATTTTGTCAAATATAACTTTTTTTTGTGGAATAAACATTAAAGTTAAATTTTAGAAATAAAATTTAGGAAAAAATTAAGATATTTACACAAAAAATGTAATTACTTAATACACCTCTGTATCCCTTACAATGAATGAACTACTTCTGAATGTATTTCATATTTATGCAGAAAATAAAAATCTTGAATTTTAGACAATTTTTCCCAATCATGGAATAATTTTGCTCCAAAATTTAGCACGCAAACATGCAGAGCCCAGAGCTGCAAAATCAAACGAGAACTTGCTAAATTTAGTGTCGAAAATATTTTTTTTTGGGGGGNTCAATCAATCAATCAAGCAATCAAGAGATCAAATATTCAATCAATAAACTAATACATCAAGAAATCAATCAATAAAAAAATCAAACATTCAATAAATAAATAGATAACACGTAAATAGAAAAAAAAAATTAAAAAAATAATAAAGAAAATAAATTATTTTTTTGGATTAAAAATAGAAATTAGTTAAATTAATAAATAAATTAATTAATCAATCAATAAATAGATAAATCAATCAATCAATCAATAAATAGATAAATCAATCAATCAAGAAACCAATAATTCAATCAATCAATCAATAAATAAATATGTTCAGTGGGTCGGAAGTGAATGTGGTCACCATGCCTCCTACACCTTCTTCAAGGGGGTCCGATACCTGGTGCCTGGGGCCCCTGACACGGAGCCCAAGGGGCCGGCTCAGGGGCCCTGGAAGGTTCTCTCGATCGGGCAGTTCTTCTTTGTAAAGATCTGGGGAGAATCTGATCTCGTTTCAGTTGCAGAGCTTCAACTGCTCTGGGAGGATAAGGTAAACATTTTATTAAAGTCATTTCAAGTCATTTCCAGATATTTGAAGTTCATTGTGAAGGTTTTTGAAGTTTTTTGACGTTTTTAAAGGTATTTGAAGTTATTTGAAGTTATTTGAAGTTATTTGAAGTTATTTGAAGGTATTTGAAATTATTTGAAGTTATTTGAAGGTATTTGAAGTATTTTGAAGTTGCTTGAAGGCGTTTGAAGTTATTTGAAGTTATTTGAAGTAATTTGAAGTTATTTGCAGATATTTGAAGTCATTTTAAAAAGTAGTTGAAGGCATTTAAAGTTATTTGAAGTTATTTGAAGTTTTTTGAAGTTATTTGAAGTTGCTAAAAGTTGTTTGAAGTAGGAAGTTATTTAGTGTTATTTGATGTTATTTTAATAATCGAAGTTATTTGAAGAAAAAAAATGAAGTCTTTTGAAGTCAATTAAATTCGTTGAAGTCGTTTGAAGACATTTAAAGTCTTTGAAGTCCTGAAATAACATTTGCCTGTTGAAAAAACAAAATTCATTAGGCGCTCGAATTTTAAAAGATGCATGGAGGTGTGGGGGGGGGGAATGTGTGAAAGAGTTTCATTAAAAGTTATCATTTTAGGTCGTCTTCCCATGTTTATGTTTATAATATTTGTCTTCCTGATTTTTATGATTTTTTGACGGGAAATGTTAAAATGTTAGAGTTGTTCTCTACATCAAATGAAAAGACTGAGGAGTCGAGGAGAGTTGAGGGG